GGTTCCGTGTGTGGAGGTCGGGTCACCGGACTGTCAGGCAAGGGTTGGTCTCGTCGGCTGACTAGTAGCATTCTCACCGGAGCGGTCCGAGCATGGCTCGATGATCTTGCCCAGGTGGGATGTGAAACCTCTTCAGGCGGGGCGGCTGCTTGGCGGCAGACAGCAGGGGGACCACTACATATGGGGCAAGGAAGGAGCCTCGGCGGCGATTGAGAGCTTCTCGTAGCATGGCTTGGGAGGAAAGGGCGAATGCCTTGATGAGACCTGGGTACCGCGCTCGCGACGGTTGAGTTGTGCTTGAGGTATGGGATAAAACCCTACCGATAGTACCAGCAGAGAGACCATATTGGGATGAGCGGTGAGGAGATGACCGACCCGTATGTGAGGTTGCTTGATTTTCTCTTATGTGTTCCCCCTCTGTAAAAATTGATTGAGATTGGACTGTTGGACGGGACATGTTTCTAAGTTTATTCCCCCCCCCATCTAAGTCCACACGAGTGAGAGATGATCGGAAGGAAGGAAGATAAAGGTCAATTGGAATGGAACCAAGAGAAAGAATGTGGGCAAATGGATAGCCGGCCGAAGGAATTGTAGAAAGGGGGTACTTAGGAAAGGGGAGGTAAAATAGAGGGACCTTGATGAGGGGTCTTAAATAATTCTCATCTAGGACAAGGGTTGACCTGACCAAAAGGATCGGTTGGTGCCTTTTTATCAAAACAGGGGTCGGGTGCTGAAAACAAGATGGCACGATGGTTGCCTTCCCCGATCTATACCAGCGACCCGGAAATGCCAGTAGATGTAAAGGATGGGGTATCGGTCGTCCTCCCGGAAAATGGAACGTGGACGGACCTTGAACCAGCATATCAAACAGTAATGCTGGAAGGAGAGGATGCTTTCCTTTGGATAAAAACAATATGGACTAATGTCAGCTTGACGAGATTGTCACCAAGTTTAATGGATTTGGAATTCCGAGGGACAGTGGAAGTCCGGGGGTGGGTCTACTTGTCGCAAGATGGGGAGAAAGTTATGATCATAGAGTTGGCACTCGGGAATACGCCGGACGAGTTGTTTAGGAAAGAAGAAGCAGAGGTTGTGTGGGCTGCATGCCAACGGAGGGAAATGAAAATGGAGAAGGTAGACGCACGAGTGAAACTTGGGGATAGAGGAAGCATGAGGCGACCCGTAAGAACCATGCGATGTGTGCTGCCCTCATTCCTAGTGGATGCGGTTTTCAAAACCCGGAGCAGGCTAGTGCGAATATGCCAGTCCATGACGAACCTCGGGCTATACCAATGCGCTAGGCAGGATTTTTTTCGGTTATCAGTAGAGATGGGCCCGTTCGAGGGGAACTGGGCGGAAGAGCTGGCCGTGATACTAAGCTGCCTTAGCATAGACAATATATTTGTTCCTAACGTTGTGCATTGGGGGATAGTCTACAGGAATGTGGCAGTAGGGGAGACGTTCCTAGATGGGGAAAGGGGGGTGATGTACTACGAGGAGGACGACCTTAGTGACAAAGATGAAGATGAAGAGATAGAGGACTGGGACTTCTAAGAGGGGTAGGATGACTTAACTTAGGGAGGACGGGTGGTCTGGTATTGTGCAGGAAAGAGAAAGATGACTAGAGAAGAAAGGATGATGGAATACCCCTTCAAAGGCTGGGAACCACGGCGACTCAGAGGAGGAATAGAAATGCATATACCAACAGGGAACGGATGAAGAGGGACCACGTGCGACTGGATTGGGTTTGAGGTTGCTCGGAACTTGTCATATATATGGATAGAGCGGATTTGGAACCCGATAAGGGAAGAAGAAGGTTGGGATGATATAGCAGAAGGCAAGGTAGAGTCAGTCGGAGCGATTGTCCTTTCCGAGGATGGATGACACCTGTTTTGCACCATGTTAGCAATGGGACAGGATCCGATGTGGCTTCTAGGGGATGCAGAGGCCCGAACCCGAAAGGAAGGCAAGTTGTTCGCCAACGAGGGGTGAGACGAAGTTAGTAGCAGAATTGTGATGGGAGGATGGAAGAAACTCAAACCTCAAAGTCTACGGATAACGGCTTGGGTATCGGAATTCATAGCCGAGTGGTTTGGGGGGTTTGAGTACATTTTAGAAGTAACCGACTCCATGAGAAGGGTGCATATATAGTGTGTCTGGTTGACTGAGGAGTTCTATAGGCTCTCATTGAAATATGGGCCCTTCTACGGAGATAAAGCTGAGGAAGTCATCATCGTCCTAAGAATAGGCAGGTATGACCGCCTAGAGGTAGAGGCGGAGTCTTGGGACGACATAGTTAGCCGGGAGGCGGCGACTGCACCCTCCTACGTAGACGACGTCTTTAAACTGTTTGAGGTATTATGGTTCGACTGAATGAGGCCAAGGGGTCGAACACTGCGAAAAGGTCTGAGTATGGAGGGTGTTTGTGAAGTAAGGTGTAACATAAGAAAGGGAGTGTGTACATTGGGCCGTAGATGGTGCATAAGGATCGAAACAAGGGGAAAGTGACAGCAACTAGAAAATGGGGGTCGGGTAGAATTGAACATGTATGAGTTGGGGATAGCGGCGGGAACCAGTGTACGATAAGTAGGGAGGGTTGAAAGACTACAACACGAAAGGCATGGAATCTCGGTGGGTGCAGCGATCGGACTAAGAAAGCAGGAAAGGAGACATTGCGAGATGGCCCGGCGAATGACGTTCTGGGCGGATAGACCTCGTGGGATCATGCCACCAAGAATATCAGAGGGTAAGGTCGAAATAAGCCTGCCGGCAAGAAATACGGTAGGCAATCCGGTAATGGATTGGGTGGGGGTAGAGTTGGTGGAAGATACGGTGTACCTAGTAGTGAAGCTGAAATGGCGGGTGAGAGGGGAGTTCGGGGGCGTAGACTTGAACCGCCCAGGGCGTGTACACGCGACGGGATCCTTACACCTATCGGAAGAGGGATGGCGGACCTTTGGGATTGCTTTGGCTTCCGGGGATGACCCTGTGCGAATGTTCGAAGAGGCATGGCAAATAACCTGGCGGGAGGGGTTTGAGTTTGCAGACCCGGAACAAGATGACGTTACGGCGGAGGTAAAAGTCGCCGCGACAGGGGTTTTTGAGCTGCCAAATGAGGTCGTACGGATAAGTCTACCTCCCTTCCTGCTAAGACAAGTGAGAGGCATAGAATGAGTGGAGCAGGCGGTGACTGCCGTAACTAGGCTAAAATTTGACGAAGCATTAATGTATCGAGAATATTATCGGGTCTTTCTAGAGATGGGGCCTTTCGGGGATGGACAAGGGAGCGAGGTGCTTTGTATTCTAAGAGCAACAGTAAATGCTAGGCCAGGAGTTCCACAAATAAGTGATGAGACGATGTGGAGAGTCATCCGACGAGAGGTAGGTCAGAGCGCGGCCTACATAGATGATCTCTACCGACTGTACGAACAGCAAGAGGAGGCTACTGCTCCCGGGGGTATAGAGGGATAGTTGGGACTCGAAAAGAGAAATGAAAACACGAAGGGCAAGGGAGACAGTAGGTGGGCGGATTCTGAAGATTGGCTGTAACCCTTTCTATGTGGACTATGCAGGAAATCACCAAGGTAACAATGGCAGCAAGACGTGAGCGAGTGGAACACCAGCCCCGTGTGCGAATGGAACGCCAGCCCCGGTACCCCGGACCGCCCTGGAACAACGGTGGGCGATGGGAAGTATCCCTCCCGTAGAGTTCTACCTATCGGGGGTTCGAGGTAGAATGTCGGGTCGTGACTTTGGGAAGGGACGCCGCCTTCATGTTGGTAGAATGTCGGTGGACAAGAATAAGACTCAACCGAGGATCCGAAGACGATCTGTTTTCCAATCTGGAAGTTACTAGGACCATGTATCTGCCTGAGATCGGCTGGCATTCGTTGGGGGTAGAGATAGCACAAGGTCACGAGCTGACACCGGTCTTTCAAAGGTTCGCCCGGACGTTGACCCGGATAGGACATTCGGTCAGAGGAAGAAGGAACGTGGGCTTGCTAACCCGGGTGGAGATGGGAGGTTGGAGGGAGTTCAGGGCACCAACCACACCGCTGAGGTGTCGGGTCCCCCGTTTTATGATAGATCTCATCTTCACGAGCCTCGCAAGGGCGCGGGAGCTGGCAGACTCGGCAATAATGTGGGCAGACCACTTTTCCTCTCTAACCATCGGGATGTTCTATGATGTCGCCGTGAGACATGGGTCATTCTGGGGAAACAGGGCCCACGAGTTACTGGAGGTCATCCATATCCTGATATTTCGTGCGTCCTGGCTAGACCAGACAGGGTACGAACGCATAATCCAAAGGGAGATCGAGATAGGAGAGAGCTATTTGGCAGGGGTGGCTGAGTTATTCGAGGAGCCGACCGAACCGGAAGAACCACGAGGGCGCGAGCGGGACTAGGATCCGCAGGCAGGCCAATACGGCAAATCCAGTATAGTTCGCTGCGTACGGAAATCCACCGATAGGAATAAGAAAGGGGTCTCAGATCCGTATGGCTAAAACCCACTAGAAAAACAAAGAAGGAGGTAGACTCCTAATGAGTGACCATAACCCGGAAGGTAAAAAACGGGAAACGCTGCTCGGGAAGGCTTCCCCTAGAAGGATGCCTAACCCGGACCCCCTCGCGTCGACCGATGGGACAAGGGCACTACAAACGAGTTTGGGATAAAGGAAGCCCAGTCACGTTCATAGCTCGGTTGGGCGGCAGGGCCAGTCGTGGCCCCTCCTTAAGGAAGGGCAATCAGGAAACGGGGATAGGAAAGGAGACTATAAAGATAAGCCAACAACATTGGGAGCCTAGGGAACCTAAAAACCTCGCATTGCGTGTGTCATGGGAATTCTTTGGCTTATGCAGAACTAGGCAAAATGGCAACGGAGGAGGAGATAGATAACCGTAAGAGTGAAGAAGAACCAGGCTTAGAAGGCAGTGCTGTGCAAAGCAAAGGGGGGCAGAAGGACAGAGAATCGATAAATCCGGATGGTACCAAAGGGAATCGGAAGGAAAGCTCCACTAAGAGAAAGCTCGGGGAAAGCCGGGGGAAGCACGCAAGGGACCCAGGGGACCAAGGAAGACAGAAATAAGGATAGGACAAGCCCCCGAAACTCGGAAGGAGCCATGCCTAAGAAAGTAAGGGTCACGGACACAAGGCGCAAACTAGCCGAGATGGACAAGAGGACCACGGAATACAAGGCAAGACTAATTGAGGAAATGATGACTGGGAACGAAGAAGGTCCTCTGCAGGAGGAACCCCGGGACGAACGGAAAGCCAGCCAAGGTGAGACTGGACAAGGGGATAAAGGTAGTGACCGTGGGGGAACGCCGAGCAAGAGAAGGAAAGAGAGAGAGAACTCTCCGGGGATGGAAGCAGAAAAGGCTACGACTCCGTCAGCCATGGATAGTAGGGCTAGCCGCCTGCCGATCACGCCAGCAGTAGCGCGAGGATGCGAAGGACTTTGGAGCCTTAGGGAAAGAGTGTTGGGATGGTTTAACCCGGAAGGAACTATGAAAACCAGGGAGGGACAGAAGGCCGACAAGGAATGTCTGGATAACAGTGTGGCAGGCGAGGCCAGCAGCTCCGAGGGCGGCCTTAAGAAGATAGTGCCGTCCCTCGCGCGAGCACTAAACAAAAACCAAGGCTATCTGGCAGACGCCAAGAAAAAGTTGACCTTCAATGGAGCAAACATCACAGAGTTCCTGATCGACTACGAGAACCTAGCTGCGTTACTAAAGTGGACCGAGGAGAAAAAGATGGACCATCTAGGACAGCATGTGTCGTTAAGCTTAGGACGGGACATAATGGTCATTGTAGCTGCAAGCCGGTCTTGGAAGGAGACCTGGGATGTGATGATGAGGAAGTACCTAGCGGCAGAGAAAATGGCAACGGAGGCCGACCTAGCGGCAGTTCAGAGGAAGAACTTCGCAACGTACAATGATTTCCTACGGGAATTTACTTTGGTAGCACTAAGGATCCCCGGGGTCACGGACCGGATAATGAGCAAATATTTCCTCAGGCAGTTCTCTGAATTCGACAAAGACAAGATCCTGTCAGCCTACCAACAAACGAGCAAGTTCGTAAACACGCGGGATGTTGATTTTAGCACGGTAACGGATCTGGCTGAGAAAACGGTAGTAACAGAGACATTAACCTTGCTCAGGGAAGGAGAGATCATAGATCTGACCGGTAGGACGAGCGACAAGGTAAAAAAGGGGATTGAAAGTCTACATGAACGGGTGCACGGGGTCGACAATAAGATTGAAAGGATGGAAGGCTCGCTAATGGTTATGCAAGCGCAAGTATCCCGACCTGACCTCCCTCCCCAGGAAGCTGTGGTCCCGCCAAGTGTAGCAAACCGGAGATTCGGACGGAGAGATCCTGCTAACGAGCAATGCAAGTACTGCACTGCGATAGGACATTATGTGCGCGCATGCCCAAAGCTCAACCATGATATTCTGAAAAGAAGGTGTACCAGGTCATTAAAGGGGGAAATATTCGGACCACAAGGGGAACGGGTGAACAGGAACTCACCAGGAGGGATGCGGCGAGCCATTATCATGCTCAACGGTCTAGAAATAACAGTCGTAGAAGCCGAACCGGTGGGCGAGATCATCTGGGATCGGCTGCGAGGGCAGGCCAACTTTATTTTGGAAAGCGACCGACGTGATAGGGTGAACGCAACCACTCGACTGGGAATGGCCGGGAGAAGGATTAACCGTGACACCATTATGAAGGAGGTCGCCGGAAGCTCCGAACCCCAGGCGGAGCCTGAGGCCGAGGAACCAGAGAAAGTCTATGAGAAGCCTAGGGAAGAGGAGCCTGCGGACAAGGCTACCGCCGCCAAGAAGAAGTTTAGGCATCAAATCCCGATCTTGACCTTGCCTGAGCTCGACGACACTATTAGCAGGTTACTAGTAACCATGGTGTCGGTGTCTTTTCAGACCATGTTGCAGGCTAGCCCTAGGTTGCTCAAGGGGCTCAGACAACTGTTGACTCGGAGGCAAGTAGAAATAGGCGACAACCTCGAATTACCAGAAGGGGAGAGGGAGGAGGAAGCTCCGCAAGAAGTGGCTAGCCTTCAGAGGAGTCACGGGGACTTGGAGGATCTCGAAAAGGCCTTTGCAGACATTCGGTTGAGCTTGCGCGACCGAGAGGGCAGTGAAGTCATGAGATCGCCACCCGAGACGAAGCTTAGCTTCCATGCGCTGCCCGTAGGGAAACTGAAAATTCAGATCGAAAGTCATCATACCGACGCATTAGTAGACGGGGGAGCAGAAATCACTCTCATAAGGAGAGATTTCGCAACGATCGCGAGATGTACGGTGAACAAGGAAGTAACAGGGAGCATCCGGGGAGCTGGCGGGGAAATCCCGTTTGCTGGGTACGTCACGAAGTGTGCTGTGAAGGCAGGGGTCAGGGAATCGATCTGGTCGTTTCAGCGGATGACCGTAATGGAGGAAATGGACCACGACATAATCATCGGGAGACCGTGGTGCACGAACATAGAGATGATAGGCATGCACTTGCACGATGGCTCATACATGGTAGACAAAGAGGACCCTGTGACCGGATGGGGAGAGCTCCTCCGACTCCTTGGAACGAAAGAAGACCCTCCAAAGGGGAAATTGGCAACATGGTCGTCGTCGTTCGAGGATAGCACGCGGAAAGGGGCTTTCGCTCGGATAGAGGGTATGAGAGAAAGGGTAGAAATCATGATTGAGGAAGCATTCAACAAAAAAGGGTGGATCAAGATGGGCCTGCCCCAGAAGAAGAGGAGGCAGGAGGACGAAGTCCTAGGTGTTATGGTAGCGGAAAAGGAGTTAGAGGTCGAACTTGGTGCTAGCCTGCCCAAACGGAATTAAGTACGCATAGACGTGTCGGAAATCGCACTCGAGATCCCCAATCTATTGCAACTCATCAAGGCCCTCACAAGGTAGGAGTGGATTCGGCAGCCTTGGCCAAGTTCGAAAGAGAGGTGCAAAAGGGATATTGCCTGAATGAAAAACTAGTTAGTATTCAACCACGAGTCATAGAGGCGACGGGGGCAATTCCGATTGTTCATTTTTTAGGAGAAAGATCCCGGAAGGAAGTATTCGAAAGTACAAGCCGGTAAGGAAGAAAGCAAAACCGGTCTCGATCCTGCTAGAGACGTCAAAGGAAGAGGCTATGGAGAAGGAGGAAGAGGTCCTTCGAGTGATCCGAGCAAGAAGGGCGACGAAGGGACATCGGATACCAGATGAGGTAGCGGACACAATGAAGATAGGGATAGACGGGTTCTTAACGGAAGAAGAAAACCCGCCTGATCAAAAGGACCTGCCAGGAGTTCCACCTGACATTTGCCTTTAGTGATCACCAGAAGGGACGACTGGATGCGAAGTTGATCCCTCCGGTCAGAATCCACACGGTAGAACATGAGTGCTGGAATGATAAGGGGCCATCGTATGAATTTGGGATAGCAGAAAAAGTAACAGACCTCCTCCGAGCGAAGATGGACTCCTTCGTTGCGGAGCCTACGGCATCGCCATACGCAAATCGGTGGTTCGTCTTTCGGAAGCCTAACAAGACACTAAGGTGGATTCAGGACCTGCAGAAGTTGAATGCGGTAACCATCCGGGATGCTGGCTCGCTACCTCAGGCTGACTTATTAGCAGAATCGCACGCCGGTCGGAGCATTTACTTCTTGATAGATCTGTACTCAGGGTACGACCAGCTTCCATTGGATGTTCGGGACAGGTCATACACCGCTATGCACACCCCCGTGGGCCAGCTACAAATGCAAGTGACACCTATGGGATTCACAAACGCGGTGGCCGAAGCGCAACGCAGGATGCCCGCTGTGGCCAGGGACATGTTCCCAGAAAAATGTGAACCTTACACGATGACAATCCGATCAAAGGCGCGCAGGAGAAGGACGAGATGAAAGTCCAGCCAGGGATCCGACGTTTTGTGTGAGACTACCTGCAGGACATCAAGGATCTACTCCGACGGTTCCTAGTATACAACATTACGGCTAGTGAACCGAAGAGTATCCTAGCAGTACCGGAGGTAACTATACTAGGATTTCGTTGCGGTGCTTACGGCAGGAAGCCGGATCCGGCAAAAACCGACAAGATATCACAATGGTCAACACCGTTGCGCACGACAGTGGAGGTAAGGGCATTCCTAGGCGTAGTCGACTTTTGGAGGATCTTCATTAAGAACTTTGTCAAGATTGTTGAGCCTATCCGGGCTATGATCAGGGAAGAAGGAACCATGGATTGGACGGAGGAGCGAAAAGGAGTTGTCCAAAGGCTCAAGGACATATTGACATCTGAGACAGTCGCCCTGTCCGTGCCTTGTTTTAATGACGAAGTGGGACGACCCTTCATCCTAGAGACGGATGGAAGACCTTTGGTCGTACGAGGTGTGTTGATTCAAAAGGATGAGGGAGGAAAAGAGAGGCCGATTAGGTTCGAAAGTAGAACCCTGACCTCCACTGAACGGCGGTACTGGCAATTCAAGAAAGAAGTCCTAGTCATCCTGCATTGCCTTAAGACCTTTCAGGCCTACCTGTTTGGGAGGCGGATCATCTTAAGGATCGATCCGACGAATGTTGTAGGGGCTCTAAAGAACTACAGGCCTATAGATCTAATGGTAGGGAGATGGGTAAGATTCATCTCGCAGTTCGATTACAAGATCGAACGGATTGCTGGAATCCGCAACAAGGCAGATGGGTTGAGTCGGGTTTGCATCACTCCCGAAGGGATGGAGGATGCAGAGCCCATAGACGCCTTCGGCGAATACGAAGGAGGGACTCTCGCGGTGGATAACGAAATGATGAGCGAGAGATGCGCATCGGGAGAGCTATTGATCCAGACGTTGGAGAAGGGAGCACGTAGTAGCAGAACTTAGAGAAGGACCAGTTACCACTCGAGGACGCAGAGAAGAAAATGACTCATGGGGAGCGATAGTAGGACCGAAAGAGGAGCTAATAGCAATGGCGGTCGAAGGAGGCCGGGAGGCAGTGATAAGCTTAGTGGAATCTTGGGAAAGGAAAGAGTTGTTGGTTGTGCATAGAATCCGCAATCGAGGGGTTCTTCACCCACACGATTCGAACCTTCTTCCTCAACCTCAGCAGGAAGCATCGAGGTAAGTCTCCCCCCATAATTGCATCATTAACGACTTTCCGTACTTCAGATACCTTGATCCTTTCATCGAATTCCAAACGAAACACTGGGTCGGATCCCAAACACAAATCAAATCGAACACAAAATATCCTGGAGATGAGTCGACGCTGATACTTGCGAGTAGATTTCTTACTGAAGTCCTTAATCACGCGGTACAAACTCAGTAAGGATTTCATATTCCAGCAAAACAGATCGTCCAGCTTACGTGGGTTGCGTAAGATCTGAACAAGGAGGTGTTTAAGATACCTGCACCTGGGTTTCCACTTCCACCAGTATACAACACGAAACACCCCACCTTATTGAAGCCTCAATTTGGCCTGTTTTAAGGTGACAACATCGTCTCCGATCTTCAACTTCGCCTCTCCAAATGCCTTACATATCCTTTTCCAACCAGATTGCCACAAATTACCACCTTCTACCGTAATTTGCACGTCACCGCGGCGATCAGCATATGCAGCATCAAGTAGACTGTAGAAATCTAGTCGCCAAGGTTCATATGCAACGCACCTAAATCGAATAACTCTATCATTTTTTGCGCCTTGACATGCTTTACGGCATCCTTTAGCACGCTCCCTACGACCTCGCTTGTGCTTCTTCCTACAGTTCGCGCTCTTACCCCCAGATGTATTTAAAAACGAAGACCAACGACCGATATACACCCGCTCCAACTTGAGCAATTCATTTCCCTCGATATGATCGATGGGTGTCAGGACCTAATTCCCAATTCCATAGTGAACCACGACTGCATGAGGTGGACTACTGGTTGTTGTGTTATATGGTGGTTTTCACACTTAGTCAAGTCTAGCTAAGAACTCTGGTACACAGGGTCCCGTTAGGCACTGCACTTGTTCATGTACACCACAAACATATATATCGCGAAACATAGCTTCCTAGTAAACCGTAGGCAGAGAGGGGGAAGAGGACAACAAACAAGGGGCGGCAACAAACTATATATATATATATATATATATATATATATATATATATATATACAGGGTCACCAGCCCGTACGTACTGAGGTCCCCGGGCAGACCTCCGTACGTACGGGCGTTCAGGGTCCCGTACGGAGTCCGAACCCGACGGCATTCGGCCCCCGCCAAAAATTATTTTGGGTCCTAAAAATAATTGGTTTTTTCTGAATTTTTATGTGAGTTCTCTACGACGTGAGGTACCTCCCTATAACTTTTCAAGTCATTTGGCTAAACCAAATAAGAATTAAAAATCTCCAAAGATGGTGGTGTCAAAACGTGCTCGCCCACGTATTTTTTCACTTTTTACTTTTTGTTTTCACTTTAGTTCGGGGTTTTAACAATTTTATTATTTTTTGAAACTTTTTTARTRGGTTTTGTATTATGTGGAGTACACATCTGTTAATTTTCAGGGCATTTAGGTATGCCAAATAAAAATGAAAAATCGCCAATGATGGCGGTGTCGAAAACATGCTCGCGCACTCACTAAATTGAATTTTCTTTTTTATTTATTTATTTTTATTATTAGTATTTATTTTCCGTATTTTATTTTTATTTCAAATTTGGTAAGGAATTCGGATGTAACACTCAGGCAAATCTTGTTTAATTTATTTTTCTCCATAACATATATTGTTTTCAGATTTTTTTGATGACTTTGTTTTTTTTTTGTTTTTGGGTCCGCGTTTGGCCAGAACGGTCGAACGCATCCCCAAGGGGTCCCATACGTTCGGGCGTTCGGATTCAGGCGTTCGGCCCGTCCCGAACGCCGGTTACAAGCGTTCGGCCCGTCCCGAACACCGGTTACCCTGTATATATATATCGTCACAAACAGAATTGCCCGGTGAACGGTAGGCAGAGAGAGAGAAGAGGACATCAAACGATATATATTATGTTTGACGATATATATATATATATATATTGTCACTAACAGAACTGCCCGGTGAACCGTAGGCAGAGAGAGAAGAGGACAACAAACGAGGGGCTGTGACAAACTGTTTCGCCGGAGTTTCACCGACTCATCAAGATTTATATATATATATATATATATATATATATATATATATATATATATATATATATATATATATATATATATCGTCACAAACAGAACGGTCCGGTAAACCGTAAGCAGAGAGAGAAAGAGGACAACAAATGAGGGGCTGTGACAAATTGTTTCGTCGGAGTTTCATATATATATATATATATATATATATATATATATATATGTAGTCAAACAGAGCTGCTCGATAAACCGTAGGCAAAGAGGGGAAGACGGCAACAAACGAGGGGTTGTGGCAAACTGTTTCGTCAGAGTTTCACCGACTCATCAGGAGGATATATATATATCACAAACAGAACTGCCCGGTAAACCGTAGGCAAAGAGAGAAAGAAGAGGACAACAAACGAGGGGTATGTAAATATCGTCACAAACAGAACTGCCCGGTAAACCGTAGGCAGAGAGGGAGAAAAGGACAACAAACGAAGGGCTGTGACAAACTGTTTCGTCGGAGTCTCACCGACTCATCAGGAGGCTGAACCCTCAACGGTCTGCAAAATCCCCTCACTGATTATACTGTAAATGGTAATCTACCTTAACCAAAATCAAAGTAGACTATCACTCACCCACACCAGATGGAAAACTCTACACACGGTCGTTTACACCTCATCACAAGCCAGCAAAACATCCACGAAACAAAGAAAGGTCTGTCACAGCCAAAAAATACACTCCAGACACGCCGCTGGCACTAGAGACACAACATGGTCGCCTAGTAACGGCCCCGACCACTGCCGCTCGACCTGACCAGAAAAAACCGTAGCAGGAAGCTAGCGAAGTTGTAGCATATATCGTCACAAACAGAACTGCCCGGTAAACCGTAGGCAGAGAGAGAGAAGATATATCCCCACCAATAGACAGGAGCATTCTGTCATAAGTCCACTATAGGGGGATGCTCATATCATGTCCTTTAGTGCACTGATATGGAACTTTTTTGGGGAGGGAGAAAAAAAGAGTGTGTATGGGTGTGTATGAGAGAGAGAGAGAGAGAGAGAGAGAGAGAGAGAGAGAGAGAGAGAGAGAGAGAGAGAGAGAGAGAGAGTGCCCTGCACATGCAGCATGTCAGTGGCAAGGAGCACAACGGCATGTGCTATTAGAAGTGAACTTCGAATACACCACATACACCTTGTTTAAAAACAACGCGTATGTTTTCTACTTGAACTTCTAAAAGAAACAAATTTTCGTATTCGAATAAAACATTACCTTTCCCCATTTTTTTTTAGGTTAGCACCTGCCCTTGTGCTCCCCGCTACTGACATCCTGCATGCTGCAGGACTCTCTCTCTCTCTCTCTCTCTCTCTCACACACACACACACACACACACACACATACACACTCCTTTCCCCCTCCCCAAGAAAAAAATTCCGCGTTAGCCCACTAGAGGAGCTGATATGAGCATCCCCCTATTCGTCAGTGAAATTCCTGATGCGTCGGTGAAACTCCGCTCTGGCTGTTCGCATCAAGAATCACAATGTGGTGAAACTCTTGATGCTCTGGCTATTCGCATCAAGAATCAGAAGAACATACCTGTCCGCTCCGACTATTGGCATCAAGAATCACAAGAACATACCTGTCCGCTCCGGCTATTGGCATCAAAAACCACAAGAAGGCATCCTTTCTTCCCCTCCTACATTCCGGTTTGCGTTCGTCTAAACATCTCATCACCTCTTCACCCACTGATACGGCAATTCTTCTGGCGATCGGGACCTTGTTAGGCTCTGGAGCTTCTTTGTCTAGGAGTTCTCCCTTCAGTGGGTTGTCGTTTAATCAGGCGGGGACTCTGGTGAACGCCAAATTGCCAATTCTTCCACCTCAAAGTGTCGTTTATAATGTCGAGTGAATTTCTAACATTCCATCCTACCTTTGTTTTTTTACGAACAATTCCGAACAGTCAGAATGTTCCATGCTTTTTCGTTTTTTAAAAAAAAAACAGCTTTCAATCCACTGTGGGGACTGGTATAGCATCTCTCCACATAGTCGACCAATCAGTGGGTGCTCCGGCCTATTTATTTTTGTGGGGAGCCACACCTGCTGGAAACTGGGTCCAGCGTCCTATTTTACATAATCGTAATCAGACGAGATGAGGATTAGGTTGATTGCTCAAAACATTCCATCCTACTTCCTCCTCCTCGTTTTGAGATATATTGTTCCTCCATCTCTTGTTGTGATCATCTTATTTCACCAGGATTTGAACCCGACCCCCAATTTCAAGCCCTGGGTAACGAGTCCAAAACCGAATTTGGGTTTTGGGGTCAGATTTTATGTTTTTTTAGTTCTTTTTTTTTTTGCCTATTCTTGTTTTGGTTCAAGGTTGGTGCGTGCCAAATTTCAAATCATTTGGAGAATTGAAATTTCTTCTGTCAAGATTTCTGAAATTAAGATGTTGGCAAAAATTTATGAACGTGCCCTTTTGCCTTGCTAAGTTGTATGTTTTTTATTATATATATATATCGTCAAATATATATATCGTCACAAATATATATATATATATATATATATATATATATATATATATATATATATATATCGTCAAATAGAACTGCCCGGTAAACCGTAGGCAGAGAGGGAGAAGAGGATAGCAAACGAGGGGCTGTGACAAACTGTTTCGTCGGAGTTTCACCGACTCATCATATTTTTGGATTTTTCTTTGCAGTTAGTATGGTCTCCACTCTATGAATTGGTGGCAAGTTTGATTAAAATGACCCTTTGTTTTTTTTATAAATGGCATGGCAAGTGGTCTGAAAATTAGGGTCTCCGTTAACCTTCTCTCTCGCGACATCAGAGAGCTACCCATAG